GGAACTGTAATTGAATGGTGCGATGTTGTATTGTGTTCAATTTTGCGGAGACCGGGAGGGGGAGAAGAAGGAGGGGGTGTGGGTGGGGGCTAATTGGACCATATGTTACTTCGATTGACAACTGTTGAATCGTAACAACAGGAAATTGTTTTAACTGGGGCTCCCAGGTATATTAGACTCTCAATACGAATCCCAATACGTAAAAAGGCAATGTGTGTCAACTATAACACACATTGAATTTTAAACTGCCGTTTTCGTTTTAATAAAGAAAAACCTTTAAATTTGATAATTATTGTTAAATGGTTGTATACTATTAAAGAATGTTTAGTTGTGCGGCAGCTGGTTAAATACAATAAGTGTATAGTACTATTTCGTTATAAACATATCATTGCTCTTGTAACGAAGCTGGACACTACAGTAACAGCCATAACACTATGTCTCTTAAAACGTTTGAAATCTTCTATTATCACCTGATCAGTGTCTGAGACATAAGCCCAGAGAAAGGCCAAGCTTGTCTCACAAAGCAGCTGATACACTACAGAGGATGTTTTCCGGGTAACTGTTTCATTCACCTGGGGGCTATTGTTCTAAGTTGTCAAACTGTACAATATGACATATGTTGTTTCCATGTATATGTATGGAATTATAATACAACACATGAATACAGATGAAACAATCCCGCCGTTTGAATTACTGAATATTTGCTTGATTGACCATCAACTCATGTGCATGAGAAAATATAGGCTAACGTGTGCCCACGCCCTTTCGGGTAATCATACAACAGTGTTGGGAGTTTGATGTTGGGTTTGACCACTTTGAGCGTTATTCTAACCTTATCACGGCAGGGACATACAAAATTTGGCTTCGTATGTTGTACCGATGTGGAGAAACGAACCAGGGCATGCGACATGACGGCACAATAGGCTCCTCAACATCCCCGAACAGTCATCGCGTCCAGAACACACAAAAACAAAATGTGAGCACGTACAGACTGACTGACTGACTGAGTTTGGTTTTACGCCGCTTTTAGCAATATTCCAGCAACATCACGGCGGGGGGACACCAGAAATGGGCTTCACACATTGTACCCATGTGGGGATTCGAACCCGGGTCTTCGGCGTGACGAGCCAACGCTTTAACCACTAGGCTACCCCACCGCCCCTGAGCACGTACAGAGATGATTATACTAGCATGTGTGTCAAACGGAGTTTACGAAACGAGTGTCGAATTCCTGTATTCCCGTGCGAGATCAAGGGTATCACGCGCATTTTTACACATATTTTGTCAAATCTGTATGAAACACTGTCACATATTATTTCTTCATCCTTTCGAACTCCATTTTGAGAAATAATGCACTTATGACGACCACCGTTCTTAGAAAATCACAACTGTCGAATGACGTCAACAATCTTTACCTATGACGTTGTTTCTAGTGTGACGTCATTCCTACACAACGTCACAATAGATTCGAATGACGTCATAATGCGTTTGATAGTGATAAGTCATACGAAGCACGCGTTATTTCTGGCTTTCTCGGGTGACATCGCTTGGTTAAGATGAAACGATATCTCCTCGGGAGATATCGCTAAATGATATGTATAGTTACAATGTTTTGCAGACCATTGTGATGTCATCGATTACAAAATGTTCATGCAGGTAGTTTCTTGGTAATAGAAAAGACAGTTTAGGTTAAAAGGATCGAGTCGATGTCGATGATTTTCACCGAACGCCTACACGTTGTTTGTATTTTATTTAGTATATTGAGCTCTCCTTGTTCTTTTGGATCTCTCCAGTGCTTTTGATACTGTTGATCACCAAATTCTTCTGCAGCGTCTGAAGGTCAGAGTCGGTATCGATGGAATTGTCCTTGACTGGGTACGTTCTTACCTATCTGATAGGTCACAGTCCGTCAAAGTGGAATCTGTACTCTCCACTGCATCACCACTCCACTATGGCGTTCCCCAAGGATCTGTCCTTGGACCTTTACTGTTTAGTCTGTACATTCTTCCCATTGGTGACATTGTCCGAAAGCACTCACTGAAATTTCATCTTTATGCTGATGACAATCAGTTATATCTATCAACGGAGCCTAACCTTGCTCAAGGTTGTGCACTGATGATACAACAATGTATTGCTGAAATAAGAGACTGGATGACCTTGAACTTTCTGAAATTGAATGACACAAAGACTGAGTTCTTAACCATCGGATCCAGGCATCAACTTTCCAAAGTGCCTGACAGTTTATCTCTTGAAATTGGACAAGATGTTATCACGCAGTCCGACTCTGCAAAAATCTTGGTGTCATATTTCAATCAACAATGTCATTAGAAAATCAAATCAAATCACTCAGCAAAGGATGTTTCTACCATATCTTCAATATTAGCAAGATCCGAACCCTCTTAGACTTCAACACCGCCCAGCTTCTAACGACCAGCCTTGTTCTCTCTAAACTTGATTACTGCAACTCCCTCTATTACAACATTCCTCAACAGCTCCTTTCACAACTCCAACGGATTCAGAATTCAGCCGCCCGTGTTGTTGCCCGTGCACCACGCTACCAAACTGTGACACCTATCCTCCAAACTCTTCACTGGCTTCCTGTATCAAGCAGAATTCAATACAAACTTCTTCTTCTTACACACAGCTGCATCTATGAAAACATGTTTTCTCAATATCTTAAAAGCTTCATTCATCTCCATGTTCCAAGCCGATTGCTCCGCTCATCAAACTCCCTACTGCTTACACAGCCTCACGTCAAAACAGCCATGGGATCAAGAGCGTTCTCTGCTGCAGCCCCTATCTCTGGAACATTCTACCACTCACCCTAAAGAAATAGAATCTGCTGATGCTTTCAAAACTGCCCTCAAAACTCATCTGTTCAAACTCTCTTTTCCATAGACATTGTCTACAATCTTTTCTCTTCATAGCGCCATTGAGCAATATTGTTTTTGGAAATAGGCGCTCTATAAATCAATTATTATTATATTATTATTTTGCTTCGAACGTATATGACAGGGTTTAATCTATGTTTCTATACTGTTTCTAACTCCTGCCCAGTCTCGTGTACTTGTACTAGCGGCGTATACTGATATAAGGGACCGATCATAATGTATGGCTAGGGGGAGATGATGGGTTTTTTATGGAGAAGCATGCACAGTGTTGCATCCTCTTTGGCGTAGACTACTGACTCTCGCGCTGGACAACATACAGTCATTCAGTTTGTGACACATTGTGACATTTGTGACCAAAATAGTTTGTTCACATTGTTGCGTGTACAGACTTCCCCAAACAGCTCAGGTCATCGGATCTACTGAACCAGGATAATATACTTTTTAAACAAAACATAGGTGAACTTCATTTTTAATTCATGATTGACAAAATTGGGGGATATATCGGAATCAATCTAATGTTGATATGATAACAATGAATGTTTTGAGAGTGTATCACCACGTGCACTTCCTTATGACCATAGGTGTTTGTACAGTAATCGCTCTTGAAAGATGCTTGGTGTATGACGTGAAATGTGCGTACGATTTTCATTTAGAAAAAATAAATAAAAAAACCCGGCTAGAAACAAACACTAATTAATGGTCTACACTCTACAGTGATTTATCGACCTTCCTGAAAACCGTCAAAATGAAGAATGACACCCAATGCACGTGTGTGGGGCTACTGCGTTGTGCACGTACATTCCATGCGTAGTATTTAGGGGTGGTGATAAAGAGAATTTGTGGTGCTTACATAAGATGTCTGTCTTTGAAAAGTTTGCTAACGCTTATACTTCCTGTCCAAATTTCTCTTTCCCGTTTTGTTTTGTTTTTATAGTTGTAAGTTACATGCAAAAGAAATCAGTTTGGGTCTTAACAATATACTGTGAGTGCAATTTCCTTATCCCAGACCAACTTGCGCCATTCATGTGGGTTAAGGAAAGATGAGAGTAGTAACGATTTCCGTCAAACTTCTAAATGATAATGTGTACATTACTCCAGGTATTCAGTATCAGTTATTCCAATCAGTTGTTTCTCCTATTCTCTCATTTGGTGTGAAGTTTGGGGCTTTATGGAAGCTAATGCTTTTTGAAGTGTACACTTGAAATTGATGAAACATATATTATATGTCAAATGTCAACTCCATCAACTTTCTTATATGTAGAATTGGGTACATTCCCTTTGAAAGTTATTCGTCTTGTCAGGATTATCAAATATTGGCTTAATTTTTTTAGAAGTAAACCAGATAGATATACAATTCATTATTAAATAGTTCAAATGAGAACCCTGATATTGAAAATTGGGCAGGTTTATTGAGAGATACGCTCTTCAGGTTTGGTTTTGGTATGTTTGGGTTGCCCAGTATGTTCCTAAAAGTAATGATTTTATGAGAGAATTTATACAAAGGTCTAAAGATATTTATTTTCAAATGTGGAAACATCAATTATGAACTCTGAGTGAAACTAGATTGTATCTTCATATTAAGATACTCTGCACATCGAGAAATACTTAACCAATATTTATGTTAACAAGTACAGCAATGCACTTACACGTTTCCGTCTCATGTCCCACATGCTTATGCAAAGTGCAAATCCCATTTGCTGATAGATCATGTCCTTTTTGTACTAACGAAATATAAGATGGGTACAACGCACTCTTGAGTTGTCCAAAATATCGTGAAAAATCCGTAGAGGGAGAGAGAGGGGGCGGGAGGGGGTGGCGGGGCATTAATTTTGTACACAGTATATTCAATAAAATTGCTTAAAAACTATAGGTGGGGGTATTTGATTTGTACATGACATGCAGAGTGTGTATGCATGGTTTCACTTAGTGTGTAAATACATTTGGGGGGATGTGGGGTGGTCATTCATATTGTACATGCTTGTCCATAAAAATCACCACCAAACCCCACCCCCAGACCATAACTTATGAACGGTCCCTACAAATGTATTGGTTTAATAAATTGCTCTCTAAAGTTGTAAAAGTTACCTCCCTTAGAAAGATGGACGGAGTGGTGGGAAATCGTGTTCGCCTGGAAGTCATTGAAGGCGATGTATTCGAGGGCTACGTGCAAAATGTTGACAGAAATGTTGGGAAAATAACGCTACAAAAGGGTTTGGATACACTCGATTTTTCAAAATGTGTTTGTAAACGTTTTCAGTGTATTTTTGCACTGAAGTCGTGGCGGGGGATGTGAAGCCACAAAAGGGTCACAGTTTTCGTGACAAGCCCAGTAGTCGTCTATTTTTGGGGTGAAATACCCTAACTACGACCCTTTGTCATGATACCGCTGTTTAGTCTCTTATAGTATTACATGTTTGCCATTGCCGTGGTGCTTAGCCGAACCGAATCTATTATTCATGACCAGCTGATAACTTACTGAGCAATTTCGCCCTCCACACCATGCAATGCTCTTCATTAATGGAATTCCGACTAAAGACGTTTAAAGTTAATGAAAAGACATGTTATTCGTATAGACAAATTATACAGCACTCGCTATGATTGACAGTAAATTTAGACATATCATGTTTTGGGTTTTCACACACTTTAAGAAATATTTGTTGTTGTCTTTCTAATCACATTAAGTTTAACAACTATAAAACATGTCAATAACTTAAACAAATAAGTATATCCTAAACACAAGACATCACTCATCAAAATTTACAATGTCTGTGTGATGCAACACCCCTTGTTATGACCTGAGTGAGCCCTGTCGTCTGACAAAGTATGATGTACAAAAACCTATGAGCTGACAACATGGATTCCATTTTTGGGGAAATAGAGATTATTAACCGAGTGTGTTTCCATATCATTGATATCATATATTAGGAATAAAAATGGTATTATGTATTATAATATTAATGATACAGAAACACACTCGGTTAATAATCTCCTTATCATGTAATGTCATTCTTAAAATTACTCTAAAAGAGAAGCAAATCAAACATGAATTTATATATGAAGAGAATCGAGCATTCGCGTAAGAATACTTAGCCGTACACCAAGGTGAAGGTCGTTCATGACGGCTGCATATGGTTGTGACTAGTTGCTAATACAGTGCAAACAACTCATGCCTAAAATAAGATCTTTCTGTCAAAAAAGAACAACAAAATCAGGCAGGGTTTTCTTGGTATTGTTTCTATTTTCATTGCGGGTAATCACTTCATCAATATCAGTTTCTGATACCTGAAGGAATCGATTCGTCGTTGTGTTCGATAGATCGAAATCCTTGATTGGTACCTTTCTTAGACGATAGCCTGTCACTCGTGCCTCATAATCCGTACCTTCAAGTTGAACGAAGTTCTCCGTTTCATGTTTTCCAAAGTCAATTACTGCAGTAACGACTCCAGAACCTCTGTCATCAATTCTACAGAATCACCAATTTTGATAATGGGGGCAGCCATGTTTGTTTACAAACTCGTCGACACAATGTAAACTCGCGACGACGTCATCAATGAAATGTTCACGTTTTAGGATTCGCACGGCATGTATGGAGTTTTGAGAAAGTAGTTCGTGGATTGACGTTATTTGCATAGTTATAATATCAGATTATGATACCAAGTTTATCAGATTGCTTTATTGCACCGATAACACCCTCCATTAGATGATAAAAAATAATCTTACCTAATGTAAACGAGGTCCTTAGTGAAGTGTCTAAAGAATACAGTTATATTTTATTTTTATGTTTTTAATATAAAAAGCAACAAGAACTGAGCACTTGTTTAGGTCAGAAAAATAATTGATCTCCTATACTGACTTTCCCCTTATCACAAAGGGACTTGATTGAGTTTTCCACTCTGTGCATAAAATACTTCACCATGATGCACAAAGGTGTGTTCCAGTGTCCCATTGTGACTTTAGCATTTGGCTGATCAAGAAAACGTGATATCAGCTCTAATATGCATGAAAGTCAAAATCCTGAAAATAACTGCATAAATGTTGTCTTCTCTTTCTGTACTCTTCACTATGGAGGAGTAAAAGATTACATAATGTGGGGTGTGGGACCTCTCACACTTTGTATATGCAGGGATGATTGCTTGTTGTTAAAGAACTTGTCTGTTTTAAGTGTGTTGGGGTGGTTTGGTACTTGGCTAGAACGTTCAGAGTCTTCCTGCGAGTAATGATTGTAAATGATATGCGTTCGAGTCAACCCAGTGAAATTACAGTCGTCTTTGTTACAGTCACATTGTGTGGGGCGGACTCTGGCAGTGACAAGAGATTGCAGGGATTGCAGCATTTTGACCATAATGAAGTCAAAGACCGTGAGTTCAGTGTTTATGTGATATTCAAATACTGAACATAGTTTTTGTATGATCATTATGTTTTATTTACTTTCCTTAAAAAACATAAATACAAAATCACAAGATTAAACCTGTGCAATTCAAGACCTTGAGTTCCCTGGACCCCCAAAAATATATAATCAAGGTGTATGAATGTTATTATGATCGTGTAACAAAGGTTCACACTGTCTTACAGACTGTGAGCATGGAGAACAGTCATCCGTTTTCTTGTTTTGTGACCACAAATGTTTGTTGTTTTTATAGTTTTTATCAACTGGGAATGTGATAACATATCAAAGTGGTTAGTTTCAGTTTTGATCTTGACATATTTAGTTCACTTTGAAAATGAGTGCATTTTTACTGAGCATACAGTACAGGACTGTTTTGAACAATTATATAAAAGGGTTTTTTTCTTTTCAGTCGAAATATTTGAAGATTTTGACAGCAGCCTGAGACAAACCACATTCAATTCAAATAAACGGTAAGACCAATATTAAAATGTTTTCAATTAAAACATTTACGATTTACGATCATGGTTGCATTCTGTTATGCTAACCATGACTGCCATATAGCAGTGTATGAAAAACGCAACCAGACATTGGGGCCGGTACCTTCAAAATGTTACCAGCCCAAAATGGATCTAACCAGACCAGACAATCCAAAGATAGTTACTCAGATGCATGGAACATGTTATCTAAATTTTGAACCAGATCATTGGCCTGGCTAGCTGTAAATTTAGACCGTCCGTCAGAAAACTAGCCTGTCTTGGGTGGTCAGACAGGCCTTATTTCATACGCTGCATATAGCTAGAATATTGCTGTGTGTGGTGTTAAACAATGAAAAAATATTAACCATACAAAGCGTTGCAGTATTCTAGTCCAAGATGGTTTTCAATAACTTGATGGTAGTTTAAAAATCTTCAAATTGTGATCTTGTGGATTTTGGGTTATTGTGGATTGTTGTCAGACTTTCCTCTCACATGGTACTGACACACCATGATACAAGTCAAATCTGTGATAAAATAGCTCACTCACTCACTCATTCACAAAATATGTTCTTTACCAAGGGAACATGGACCTCGACTAACTCAAAACAAGGACACACCTCGTCATCTACTGAGAACAAGGAACGTGACATCAGAAAATCTTATCCTCCAGAAATCAGTCTCCATTGGAGATGAGAACAGGGGGAGACAACTCCGATACGACAAAGCGGGATCATGTATGTGTATTGATTCTTGTTCAGCAATATTTCACTCTTCAAGTCACTGGACAGAAAATTTAACTTTTTCATATATTATGATATCACTAATAACTTTTAATAAACAGTTTGATTCTGGGTTAGAATAGGTCCCCAGGAACCTACATCGTATGAAAGAATTGAATAGCTCCTGTGTACAGGTGGGTGGTGGGGTAGCCTAGTGGTTAAAGTGTTCGCTTGTCACACGAAAGACCTGGGTTTGATTCCCCACATGGGTACAATTGTGAAATCCATTTCTAGTGTCCCTTGCCATGATATTGCTAGATTATTTCTAAAAGCAGAGTAAAACCACTCACTCACTCACTCACTCACTCACTCACTCACTCACTCACTCACTCACTCACTCACTCACTCACTCACTCACTCACTCACTCACTCACTCACTCACTCACTCACTCACTCACTCACTCACTCACTCACTCACTCACTCGCTCACTCACTCACTCACTCACTCACACATACTTTGTGACTTGTTTGATTGAGTTTTATCATACAACCTGCCATGACATATGCACCGAACAGTTTGCTTACTTTACTAGCTGTATACTTGATTGAGGCTTTATTAATGACAGATTTTGTTTTGTCTTTTGTGCAGTGAAGAGCTCCGATTACGATTCCAGCAGTGATGTTGGGGAGGGAACTAATGGCGACTTCCATATCATTGACAAGTTGGATGAAGTGTTCCGTGAAGCAGTGAGTTGATTAATCTCAGGAGATACTGTCTTTTGAATGGTTTGTGCTTTCAGCTTACCTGAACGAAGGGCCAAAATCATGAAACAAAGAAATAGCTTGTTTTCAATTTGCCATTTATGATGTTTTCAGTGGGTATTATGAATGTTGAGTGGGTATTTCATTTTTCGTTACCCACTGCTTTCAAACATGTGGGTATTTCGGTCATTTTACTCACCTAAGTATTACGTCATTGAGTAAGTACACTAAGCAGGTATGTCCTGCCTTATATCATACCTAATCAAACCAACTTAAATATAATGGAAATGATTTCATAAAAAAATCACTTATCCGATACTGACAGTACAACACTAGTCCTATACTAACAGTACAACTTGATAGCAATTGATGTCTTTTTCATTACGCAAGCGATTTTTATAAATATATTCCGTACGCATTTGTTTTAAACTTTTTGCATATCTAACATTTTAAATGCATAATTGGTACGCAACAATTATTTTTCAATGCGTAATTGGAAATTTTCTATGCATATTTTACCCGGATACGCAGCTTATCTGGGCCTCTGATTGTTGTTTTAGTATCTTGTTGTACTTACTTACTGACTGACTGACTGACTGACTGACTGACGTTAATCTGCTGATACTGATTTTCCATCTCGTTTAACTTGAAAGTTACTGTCCTTCACCATTTTGTTCTTGGCCTTCCTCATTTCCTCTTTCCTGGTGGTACCCGTGAAGATTCGGGTTAGAATTGATCTTCAGTAACCCATGCTTGTCATAAAAGGCGACTAACAGGACTTGGTTGACACATGTCATCGGTTCCCAATTGCGTAGATCGATGTTCATGCTGTTGATCCCTGGATTGCCTGGTCCAGATTCGATTATTTACAGGCCGCCACTATATAGCTGGAATATAGCTCACTCACTCACTTTCCTGGTGGTGTCCACTTGAGTGTCGTTCTGGGAATAGAGTAGGGACTCATTCTGAAGATGTGCCCAAGCCTTGTATAAAATAATAGGAAGATAAAATAAGATCATGGTTTATGTAACCTTTGATTTAACATTTTTAATGGTAACTGTGTTAATATGTGGCCATGACCTTATGTTTTAAGAAAAACAAAGTATCTAACTGAAACATCTCAAATCCTACAGGGCTCGATTTAAAGAAATGAAACCTACTTGCACCTAGTGCAACCTTTAGGTAGAAACCTTGTTGCATCAGATAAAAACAGGTTGCACCTGCTGCTCAATATAAAATCTTGTATAAAATATGATGCTTGAGTTTTGGTAATGATAGTTTAGAACATTATAACAAAGGAAATCTGGGACTGATAAGATTAGTTATCTTACTTCCTAAAATTTCATGAACAGTAAGTCCTTCAGTCACTGCTCATACAGTCATCAGAGTCACTGTTCCAAGTCAGTTCCTCATCATTCTGTTTTCCAGCTGAAGTCTCCAAACTTGACTTGCTCTTGGTGCAAGTTAGGCTAATAACTAGGTTGCACTTTGTAATATTGGGTTGCACCAGTGCAAGTAACAAAGCACTAAATCGAGCCCTGTCCTAGAAATATGAACTTTGTGGTTTCACTTTAGAAACAGATGATGTCAGCTTCCTGTTTGAGTAAAATGTACAAATCTATTTTTCTTCTATGTTGTTTAGGTCGAGTATGTCCAAGTACAGAAGGTCATTGGTGTGGGCCTAGAGGGTGTATGCATCGGTAGAGATGGGACATTGTGCTGGCTTCAGGTATGTCAGCTGTTCCAAGTGAGTGAGTCAGTGAGTTGAGTTTTACAAAGCTTTCACAGGTTCAGCAATATTCCAGCAATATCACAGCGGGGGACACCAGAAATGGGCTTCACGCATTGTACCCATGTGGGGAATCGAACCCGGGTCTTTGGCGTGATAAACCAACGCTTTAACCACTAGGCTACCCCACCGGCCCAGTTGTTCCAAGAGAATTGGTCTTCAGCAACCAGTGCTTTTTGTAAGAGGCGACTAACGGGATTGGATGGTCAGGCTCGGTGATATGTCATCATATCCCAATTGCGTAGATCGAAGCTCAACCTGTTGACCACTGGATTGTCTGGTACCTTCATGTCCCCTTGTACCCGTGAAGGTCCGGGTTAGAATATTAGTCTTCAGTAAGCCATGCTTGTCGTAAGAGGCGACTAACGGGATCGGGTGGTCAGGCTTGCTGACTGTGTTGACACATGTCATTGGTTCCCACTTGCGCAGATCGATGCTCATGCTGTTGATCACTGGATTGTCTGGTCCAGACTCGATTATTTACAGACCACCGCCATATAGCTGGAATATTGCTGAGTGCGGCGGTGTAAAACTCAACTCACTCACTCATGTCCCCATGTTCCCATAAAAATTTACACCACCCTGCTTTAACTGGGTCCAGTGCCACATGATTGTAACACCACAACTGTCATAAATGGGTGTTACACTAAAAATAACCCTCTGCATGGAGGTAACACCATATTCACTGTCTCAATATTTGCCCAGTCACAAATCTGTTAAATCTTGGTACATATGTAAACTGACATTTATGTGTTGCCATGGTTACAGATGTCAACAAAGGAGGAAGTTTTTCTCTTTGATGTCCTTTCACTTGGATCAGAGTGCTTCCAACGGGGACTCCAGGAAATCATGGAATCTGGCAAAATCCTCAAGGTAGTTCATGTTGCACATAGGTGTTTAGTCTTTGGTAGCTATTTAGGGACCATTCATAATTCATGGTTAGGGGGGGTGATAATGATTGTTATGGAGAAGCATGTACAATGTAAATGACACCCCCCCCTAAAATATAAGTACAAATCAATGACCCTCCTTCCCATAATTTCTGAGCATAATTTTAAACATATTTTTATGTACGAAATTGATGAACCCAGTACGTGTGTACATTATTGCTGACCCCCCTAACTCCCAGAACAAAATGGGTGATGCTCTCTTAAAATCAACATCCCCCAACCCCCAGCCATACTTTATTAGCGGTCCCTTAGAAATTTGAAGCACATGAAAACAAAACTTTTTTTCGATAACATATCTTTGATTGTGATTGTAAACATTTCAGGGCTATTTATTGGACCAGTTTAGAGTTGACTCCTAAAATATAAATACTTGTAACTACTATGACTTGCAATCATTAAAGCAGTTCTGTGTGAAACAGGTAACTTCATCACATTAAGGTGTGATGTGTTTTACCTGAAGTTTAATAGGTACTGCAATACTTATCAAGTATTCTATTATCAGCCAATCCAGAAACAAGTCTCCTAGGCTTGCTGACCTGCTTGACACATGTCATCGTATCCCAACTGTGTAGATTGATGCTCATGATGTTGATCACTGGATTGTCTGTCCCAGACTCCATTATTTACATTTGTGGCATGAAACAACAAACAAACAGGCAATGTCGTGAAGATCGGGGTTAGAATTGATCTGCAGCCACCCATGTTTGTCTTAAGAGGCAATTAACAGGATTGGATGGTCAGGCTTGCTGACTTGGTTGACACATAATCATATCCCAGTTGCGTAGATCGATGCTCATGCTGTTGCTCACTGGATTGTATGGTCCAGACTCAATCATTTACAGACTGCCACCATATACGAATATTGCTGAGTGCTTTGTTAAACATCAGCAAGCAATATTATTTCTTTGTGACGGGTCATGAATTGTAATTCACAAATTTTCAGGTGATGCATGACTGTCGCCAGCCATCAGATTTGTTGTACCATCAGTTCGGGGTGGAACTGGTGAATGTGTTTGATACTCAGGTGAGACTTCCTGTTGGGGACATCGTACGTCTCTGTAACCATGGTAACCAGTAGCGAAGATTATTATAACAGAATTAGTAATGATCTGTTATGAAATACTGATGTGAAATAAACATGATTACTTCAGAAAACCAAAACATTGTGGTTTTGCATTAAAGCTGCCCTAAACGCACCTGGTGCATGCTGGTCCTGTCGCATGAATACACATAGAGATGGTTATGAGTGCATGTGGTAAAACGCGAGGTAGTTTGGAAGTATTTAAGACTGTTGAACAGGATAGGGCTTTTTGGCATCAGACAGTTGGCTTTTCAGGGTTTGACTGTTGTACTGCTTTGAATTAGAATGCTGTAGAGTTTAGAGGCCCTGGTGACAACCTGTAGCGAAGATTAATATGACAGAATTAGTTTTCGTAACCCATTTCATTGAAAGTTCTTCATTTAAGTGTTTCAATTGTTTTAGTTGATTAGTATTCTGTTAAATTTAGACAAACTCTGCGTAACACCATGCTGTACTTGATGTTGATGTATTAGGACATTTATTGTGATCGAAATACTGATGTAGTTCTGATCAGAATGTCCTTGTCTAATGTATATAATTTCCTCTCTTGTTTTGCTCTTGTTTAGTGTATAATGTGTGTTAAAGGTGGCTGCTGTCATCATCTACCGGATGGAGCACAACGGTGACTACCCTCGCTACGTCGAGAGTCAGTATAGTCTTCTGCTCACTGAACTCAACATGCCTCTCACTGAGCTCCAGATAATTAGATACAGGGAGACTCACCAGAAGGTATGGCTACTGGAGGAGAAAGTTGGCAAGAGCTAAGTAGTTTATTTATGATCCCATAAAGGCTATAACTGGATATCAATTAGGTGAGATCAAGAAATAGATACATCACTAACATCATTAATCTCTCTGATATTGAAGTGAGCGAAATGTACCTCAATTTTTTTGTGATGAAAGCACTGGTTATTCCTTTCCTCAACTGAACAAAGTTGCAAGAATGATGTTGGATCATGAATAGAATACCAGCCTTGGAGTTTTCAAATTATATGGGCTTTGTGTGTGTGTGTGTGTGTGTGCGTGTGTGTGTGATGCGTGCGTCGCGTCGTCGTCGTGCGTCGCGTCGTCGTCGTCGTCGTCGTCGCGTCGTCGTCGCGTGCGTCGCGTGCGTCGTCGTCGATATGTGTGTGAGATATCAAAAGATATGAGGATGACATTTTATTTATTTATGTTTCTTAACAATAACAGATTGTGTATCACTGTAGTGACATACTTGACTGCTAACTTTCAATCTATTTTCTAAGGTAATTATCTGTGCAGTTTAGGGTCAGAAGTTGTTACCATTTGTATTAATCCTGATAATGTTTCCTTTTGATGCCAATATTTTGCTATATGTGACCCAACATTTCAGGAAGACCAAGAGGTGTGGTGTCAGCGCCCCGCCCCCCTCCACATACTGACTGCTGCAGCAAAGCAGGTGAAGCACCTGTTGCCTCTGCGGATGAAGTTGATGGAAAAGCTGCTGAAGGAGGTGACAGTGGGGACGGAGATCTACCTGGGATATGTCCGAGATGCTTCCAATGAGGACTCCAAGAGAGGACCGGTCAGTAGAACATTTATTGATGAATTGGCTTTGCAAATAATTATTCCCCCGACGGGTATTAAAATGGACTGTGTCCGTGCGTAGGTGCACATTTGTCTTTTCCGGAGCAGAACTTTAAAACCATTCAATATTTCTTCACTAAACTTGGCACATGGATAGATCTGTACTGGTGCCTTTTGGTAGTTTTGGTATTCTGAATTAAATATTTTTGGTGTTTCCATGGCAACAAGTTTGACTTAGACTGAAATTGGTGGTAGTGCTCTTTTCCGGAGCAGAACTCTTAAACCCATTCAATGTTTCTTCACCAAACTTGGCACATACATACATCTGGTGGTGTACTGGTGCCTTTTGGTAGTTTTGGAATTCTGAATAAAATATCTTTGCATTTCGATGCCAACAAGTTTGACTTAGACTGAAACTGGTGGTAGTGCTCCTTTCTGGAGCAGAACTTTTAAACATTTCAAATTTTTCCTTATCCTGACTCATGCTTATTATGCTTGTCTCCTTCTTCTATGTGAATGATAGTGGAACACTTGAAATCCCTTGTAGTTCCATTTAAAGCTGACGTAGAAGTACACTCACCCATGAGTTGCCTCCCTTGCATAGTTTCCCGCCAATACAGTCACATGGCTAACCATGCTTGTCACTCTCTCCTCCATCGCCCTGGTGGATGGTTGTGGGACTTGGGAGTCCCTATACAGCACTATATCCTTTTATATTTTTAGCTGTATACGGTTTTCGGTCTGTATTATTATTCAGTGTATATAGGAATTATGTCCAAATTTACGTAAATATTGTTGTTTTTCATCACTTGTATTTGTTGTTTACATTTGATGAAATCGTGTTCTTTTTGCAGGCACAGACTGTGTGCGGCTGATCCGCACCCCCTTTGTCCTTCTTGTACTAATCAATGCTCTTCCAGCTCTCGCTGTCAATATTGTATAAATTTATCTCCGTTGCAATTTAATAATTATTTGTTGGCCTTATTTAGACGTACTAAGGACAAGGTGCAGAGGTTATCACAAGGCATGGCGGATAAAACGACAGATAACGTCAGTAACCGTGTGTTGTCATCTGCAAATGAAACTAATGTTTCTAGTGATTTGCCGGGTTCTTCACATTGGCAGGCTTCTGTTACGAGGAAGAGGGCAGCGTCGTCTGAGTTGGCTTCATTGCAGTCTAAGAAGCACAAATCGTCATCTGTGAGTTCACAGAAGAAGAAGACATCTGCGTCAAAATTGTCTTCGAAGTCTTCCAGTTCTACTAGACCTGCTCGTCAGACGTCATTCAACGAAGATATCGTCCCCCCGACAGAGACATACACCTACGACGACCCGCTGATTTTGCTGCCAAAAGTTGGATGCATCGTCTACTTCACATCAGTCAGCGCAGAACTTTGACCAGGGTGCATTTATGAAGCAATCCACCCAACATATGCTGTCCTTGATGGAACAGAGGTTCGCCGAAGAGAAGAGGTTACAGCAAGCTTCGGCGATAGCAGTACCCAGAATGGAATCCACTCTACAGGATGCAGCACTCGTGTATCATCAGTCGGCGAACACAGCAGTCGCGGATCATCATTTGACGAACGCAGTCACGACACAGGATCACCAGCGTTCGAGAAGGTCTTCACCTAGTGAGGATTCAACGTTCTGCAGTCGAGAGGGATCCGCGAATGTTAATGAGGAGGATACAGTTCGAGAACGTCGCCATTCCATCTCCAGGGAATCTTCTCCGAGGCGCGAACGCACCACGTCAGTATCAAGCAGATCCTACAGTCATAGATCTACTTCACCGGCCTACAGGGAGGATCGTTCACGAACATGAGATTCCAGCCGTGATGAGCATTCGCGAAAGGATCATTCGCGAAAGGAGGATCCTAGGAAGGACTCGCGATTGGAGTAAGCGCGAAGGGATTCGCGAAGACACAACTCGTCAGACAAGGATGAAGAGAGCAATTGGATCTTCTCCGATGCAGAGGTTACTTCATGGATCGCGAGTGGTCTCAATTTAGCGTCTCCATCCAAGGAACGGAATGAAGCACTCACTTACAGAATGCTTGATGATGACTTTGATTCGCTCATGATCCCGCCTATTGAACCCATCGTAGGAGTCCCGGCAAGCCTCAGTTTAGCCTTCGAGAAAGCAATTAAGTGGCAGAACCAGAACGTTCCATTCTTTTTTATATATTCCTCCTTGGGGTACTTATAAGCATTTAAATGTCCATTTAAAATCCCTACGACAGTTGTAACAATATTTGAATAAAAATATTTACAAAACAAAAACTACGTTTTGTCTTGTGAGACCACCCTTACAGGGCCCTCCGGCCCCCTACAGACAAGAGCAGGTAACTCTAGACCGTAACCTCGCACCTCACTTTCCATGCTGTCGTTTACTGGCAAGGCGTGGGTCCACTTCAAAAGTTTTAATTTCCCAACCACGAATATGAGTGTCTCAGAAACAGCTACTGTATGTATGGTTCTCTCTTTTTCCCTGCATGGGTGATTTGGAGACTTGTTCTGAACATTTTTCATTCATAATTTCTAGTTGTAACTTGGTACCTGTCGCGAGGCTTTCGCCGAGTCGCGTGTCAAGATAGCGGACAGGTCCTTAAGCTAGCCTCACTGTTCATTGGCTTCCCATGTGTTTTTTTCAATGTTACGTGTGGTTATAGTAATTTTTATTTATATGTTGTTACATGTAGGGCGTTATTTCCACTGCTAGCATTTTCTATCTTACGCTAAAAGTCGTAATTGTAAGTTATGTTGCAGTGCGTATTACTTGTTTTTGTCAACTTCATGCTACGTTGTTGCATTGGTTGTATCGCCCATGCGTGTTTTTTTTCATATATTTATGTATGTATGGGGTAGGTTACTGCACAGGTTTTTTACTTGTTGCAGTTTAAATCCTGTACTTCGTGCCTCGCTGCCATTCCCGTGAGGGATACACACGAGGTGTGTCTGAGGTGTCTAATGGAGACTGATCATGATGAAACGGGTTGTCCGGCGTGTGAGATTTTCACGCCTAAAACTATTAAGTCCAGGCGGGTGGACAAGCTGTTCTACAGCAACCTGCTTTGGGCGGGGGGTGATATCTGGGCTCAGGATCCCCCGTCCAAACGTTCACACAGTAAAACAAAGGGGTCTTCGGGAGCCGCCTCCCATACGGAACCGCCTCCCAAACGGGCTAAAGTTACCAAGGACGCTTCGCCCGAAAAAACTAATGCTCCTTCTGTATCTCAACCTGCCCCTGTACCTGTTTCCAACACACCCCCTGTTGCATCGGCACCCGTTGTCCCTGTTGCCTCATTAACTGCTCTTTTTCAGGAACAGATGTCGTCTGTGAAATCCCTGATTGATACGGCGTTGGCTGGGTTCCGTAAGGAGCTCAGCGCGCCGGTGCGTCGAGGTGGATCCGGACACATCTGGGGGTTGGCTGCGGTCCGAGCCGGCTTGGAAAAGCGCCTCCCCGGGCAGCTTGATCCCGGCTTAGGCCGTGGTTATAGCGTGCCCTCGGCGCCTTGTTGCAACCTAGCTTGGCGCTCAGGTCCGTCACAGGCCCCTGGCGCCGGCGATGCAGGGTTACTCCTGTCTTGCCTGGTGCCCTGACTGGCGGTCGCCTAGGCGCCGACCAGCTCGGGGATACCTCGGCGCCTGGCAGCCAGTCTGGGTTGCCCGGGAAACCTGTCGCGGCAGGTTCCTCTTGGGCGCCTCGGCGACCGGGCGTGGGTTCCACCGGCAGGGTGACTCATTCCCTCTGGCGCCTCTCGGAGTACGGCGGCCGAGGATTGTACCCGAATTGATATGGAGGAGGATGAAGGGAGGGAGGAGTCGGAGGTGGGAGTTCCGTACTCCTTTGGCTCGTGCCTGTGGCAGGTTCGGGATAAGATCGCCTAAGTCCTGCCTCAGGTGGCCGTTCCCGTACAGGCGCCCGATCCCGCGGAGTTTCGGCTCCCGGTGGAGGCATTCGCGCCTAGCCGGGTCGCTGAGGCACGCCTCCGCATTCTGCCATCACTGGTGAGTGAGGTGGTCAATCCTCTCTTGACTGGTGCCCGCACGCGGTTTGATTTGCCCGACGTCAAGCCGCCAGTGGTGGACGAGTGCGTCTTGGCTTCCGTCACTCTAGGGGGGTCGACCTCGTCTTCCCTGGCCTCGACCCGAGCAGGGCGGCGCCTCCCCTTTTCCTAACAATTCGCTTACGCTGAGGTCTGCGTATTGGTCCTTCGAGGAGTGCTACCGGTGCGCAGCCCAGCAATTAAAAGTGTCCGTCCACTCAGCTTACCTGTCTGCTCTGCAGGGACAGCTGGTGGATCAGAGTGCTTGTGGCGCCGACTTGTCGGCGCCGGTGCTCGCGCGTCAGCTAACGGGTGTCCACTCTCATCTGGCTCGGGACAGCATTTGGTGCTGTGCCAGCCAGATGATGGGTGCCGTTATGGGCTTGCGCAGGCTGTGGTTATCCGTGGCGCGGTATTCGCCGGCCACGCAACAGGCTCTCCTGTCTTTGCCTTACACAATGGGGTCCTCCCTGTTCCCTGGGGCATTGCAGGTTGTACAGGAGGCCGAGGAGGCCGTGTCTACCTTTAAAGACTCTAAGCCTTTGTTGGAACAGCCCTCCGTTCCTCGCTAACGGCCTTCCCCGCTCGCTACCGCTTATCCTTCTGCCAGGGCTGAACAAGTCACTGGAGGTGCCGACTTTCCGGATGGAGACACTCAGGTCAGTGATCTCCTCCGTCGAGACAGGAGATTGGCTTACGTCAATCGATCTCAAAGACCCATACCTCCATGTTCCAATGCACCCCTCCGGTTCTCCTTCGAGCACTCAGTCTCAGGCCTCTGGTCGGAGCGGGAAGTCAGCCTACACATCAATGTGTTAGAACTGAGAGCAGTCCGCAGGGTGTTCGAGAGCTTTTGGGTGTTTGTTCAGGGCTGTGTGGTTCGTCTAGAGATGGACAATCAAACGGCCATGTCTTACATTCTCAAGCAAGGCGGCACAGTGTCTCC